GGCGGGGAGAGGGCGGTGGAGGGCCGAGCCGTTCGCAAGCAGCGGCGCGGGTGGCATGCCGGGGCCGGCACCCGCCTGGGGAGGGGGGGGCCCGCCGGCAGCGGGGAGGCTCCCACCCTGTTGCCATGCCCGGTGCGTCGGTTGCAGCCGCTGTTACTCAGGTGCCCCTTTTCGCAACATTCGCACGCCCCCGGCGCCTGCAGGTGGGCTTCTTTCCTCTGGGACCGGCGGCGTTGACGCTTCGAATGATGATCTCCCTGTTCTGGATGCGCCCGGAGCAGCGCATCAGCACCCTTGGCCGCTGCGCGCTCGTCGCCCTGCTGTGGGGCGCGCTGTGCACGCTGCAGGTGCTGCTGGGATATGCCGCGAAGCTTGTGGCCTGCGCCTACGTCGTGCGCCACAACGCGGCACAGGGAGGCAAGCCGGGGCCTCGCGTGATACATGTGAAGGACTCACTTACGGCGACGGGCATGGCTGGCGGTGGCGGGGGCGGCGCGGGCGCGTCTGGCGGCAAGGGCGGGGGCAGCGGCGTTGGAGGTGGTGTGGGTCCGTTTGCTGCGGCTCAAACGAGTCAAACTCAAGGGGGCGCGCGTCAAAAGGCCGAGTAACGGCCTTTCTCCATGTCTCACTCGGGAACGGTTGGGGGCACCGGCCATACCGAGTTTTGATCCCAGGCCCCCCGTGTTGCCCCCCGTGTTGCTCAGTTGGACATTTAGAATTGCGACAAACTTACTGAACCCGTCAGTCGCTGCGTATATTCACACAAGGTGTGCTCGACCGCCGCTAGTTAGCCCCCCGCCCTGGCCCCCTGGCCTCCTGTCGCGCAATAAGAAGAATCAGACGATATTAAGATTATACATTGTCCGCTGTGACAGCCATTGGGGTCTGCCTGCGCACCGAAGGGCTGGCAGCGCGAGGTTACACAGCGCTCGGCGCCGGTGTAAGGACCCATATCGCGTCATAATACACGCATAATGCACCATTGCTACCTTTAATTGCGCTACACCCGCGCTCTGCCCGTCTCTCCACGACAGGCGCGCCGCGCGGTGCTGCCTCCGCAGTGCACATTGAACCTGCCGCGCCCGCTCTTGCGCACGTTGTGCGGGTCAGCCGGAACGAAGCCATGAGGATCCAAATTGTGGCCGTATGCTTTGTCCTGGCGATGGCGGGCGCTCTTGCCCAGCCTCAGCCACAGGACGCAATCGGCGCCAAGGTGGCCTCTGAGTTCAAGCAGTGCGGTGAGTGCCGCCCCCGCTCGGCGTCCCCTGTAGGCAGCGCCGCAGCCGCCGCCACGGGCTATATGTCTGGCAAGGCCGTCGCTGCCAGGCGCATCGCCCATTTCAGCGGCCCGCTGCTACGGGGCTGGTTTGGTGGCGTCCAACACAGGCAAACTGCCGCACATCCGTCGCCAGCCACTGGGCAGCCGCACGCCCATGCCCTGCCTCACACACGCTCGCGCGTGGTGGGACACGCGCCCCGCTCCCAGGGGGCGCCGCCCAATGCGCGGGCCACGTCTGCGCGGATGCGGCTTGGGCGGACGTCCAGTGCGCGGCCGGCTTTGTGTGCGATCGCCAGAACCCCTACTACTGGCAGGTCTGCTGCGCCTAGGTTCTAGGGTGTGGCAAAGCCGTCTGGCCCCCGCCCAGGCCTGACGAGGGGATGGGGCTTCCCGGCGGAGCGCGCAGCCGTGCGCAAATGGCGCACCACGCTGCGGCGCCCCTAAGACACAGAACGGCCAGCTGCGTTGTCCGCCGCAGGGTGTCACAGCAGGGGCTGCCGCTGACAGCCCACTCTTGTCGACCTTGACCCTGCCGCGCGCCCCCCTCCCCACCACCCTAAACACACAGTGCACCAACGACCCGGAAGCGGTGAAGAAAACCGGCGCCGCTGCCCCTGGCGCTGCCGCCGCGGCGGCCCCAGCTGCCGCAGCTGCCGCTCATGCACCCAACCCGGCGAACGCGGCGCCGCTGCCCACCGCCGCGTCCCTGGCGCAGCCCGCCGACGTCTTTGCCACGCCGCGGGCGCCCGTGCCGCTGCCCACCGCCGCGACCGCCGACCCATTCACGGCCCAGCCGCCCGCCGCGCCCGCCGCGCCCGCGCCGGCTGCCGCAGTCCAGCCCGCCGCCGCTGCCGCGCCCGTCCCTGAGCCTGCCGCCGCCCCTGCCGCCACCCCTGCCGCCGCCGCGGCCGCCACACCTGCGGCCGCGCCCGCCGCGCGTGTGTACGCGACCGTCAAGTCGGGATCTCGCAACTCCGCCAGCCCCGCCACCCTGGTGTGCCCGTGCATCGACGTCGGCCTCAACGACCCGGCCTGCTTCAAGGGCATCACGGATTTCTGCGAGAGCGCGGCTGCTAAGCCAAACATGACTGTGTGCGAGGCGATGAGCCTCTTCTTCAATGACCAGGTGCGGCTTTGCGGGGCCGCGCTGGGGTTGGTGGCAGGCCTTGGGCTGGTCGGCTGCATCGTGCCAGCGTAGCAGCGAGGCGTTGAGGGTGCAAAACACCCTCAGATTCCGCTGCCCCTTGAGTGCTCTAGGAACATCGGGCGGTTGTTGCGCGTCTCGTCCGGCCTGGGGCGCAAAAATCCGCCACTGCCGCTGGAGGGTGCTGATTTTAACGGGGCCCTGTGTCCCCGCCGCACGCGGACGCTGCGTCTGGCCCACCACTGCAGAACGTGACCGCCGCCAAGATCGCCACCGGGTTCTTCGTGGACACGTGCAACGTGATCGTGCCCCCAACGGCGACGGCGTGCGCCTGCATGGACGTGAGCGACGCGGAGCTCCTGGGGCAGCGGCGCGCGGGCGGCTGGCAGGGCGTCTTGCCAACTGGGACAGCCGAGGGCGGCGCAGCGGCGCGCGGGACGGCAGCAGGGGGCGAGGCGCTCGGCGGGCCAACTGTCCCCGGCGCAGGGCTACGAAGGGTGCCGACTGGGCGTGCGCCGCACCAGCGGTGGGGGGCGCGATGAGACTGCAGTCGCAGGCCGGATGGCCTGAACGAGATGAAGCGTTGATCAGTCGCGATTGCCTTCACAACCGACACTCGTGCAACTCCCACCCCCACCCCATCCCCCAGGGCCCCACCACGGACGGCTGCAAGGCCGCCGCCGTCGCAGCCTGCCAGGCCGGCAGCACCATCTGCCCGGCCCTCGCGTTCGGCGTCGAGTCCAACACGGCCAGCCAGGAGGCGCTCGCCAAGTACATGGAGACCAACTGCGCGGCGGACATGGTGGCCACCAACATCACCTTCTCGTTCCTGGACATCTCGAAGGACGAGTTCAATAAGAAGTACGCCAAGGGCACCGCGGCCGCCCTGGCCGCGATCACGCAGCAGCCGGCGACGTCGGTGTCCGCCATAGGCCTGCAGG